CTGTAGCTCAGTGGAAGAGCATCCTAGATTCATACCCTGGCATCTCCAGGTAGGGCTGGGAGAAACCCTAGTCTGGAACTGGGGAGCTGCCTGCCGAGTTGGTGTAGACAAAATTGAGCTAGATAGACGAATGGGTCTGACTCTGTATAAGGTTTCTGTGAGGTATTGAGGTGATAGAAGCTGAAGCAGGAGAGGTGAGAAAAACATGCAGATCCACAAGTTGTGGCTGGGTTTGATAGCAAACCATTGATTCTAGGAGCCATTGCAGATGTGCTAGAAGGACCTTTGAATTCATGGATGTGGTGCCACGATGCCTACTGAGCAACTGCAGTCTGGTGGTTCCTCAAAACGGAATAAGGTAGTAGGGCTTAAGAACATGGATGGAATGGAAGGCTTTTAAAGAAATTACAAAGCAGCCTCATATTATGTGTCTTCCTTGTTAGACAGTGCATCAGCAACAAATTTTAAGAGAGATTGTAACACAAGTGCATACATTCATCAAAGTAATTTGTTGCTTCACCATAGGTCATAACTAGCAAATGCATGGACTGGAATCCTTCCAAAGAGATTTCAGTTCTGGAATATTTTTAGTGGAAGGAGAAAAATTCAAAGATGTGTAGTGTGTTAAAGAGCAGGAGAAGGGAAATGGAAGAGGCAAGAGTTAGGAGCCTTAACAAGGCGGCCTGTGTGAAACTTCACCAGCTTCCAGAAGTAGCAAGTCAATCGAAGTAATTTGGATGCCCACCTACCCAAAGTGGCAGAGGAGTTTGCTCTTCCGTGGCTTTTTCATGGCGCATCTGCTCTGGAGTTTGTGACCAACATGGGTTGATCTAGAGGTGTGGGTCTGTGTGGGCACATATATGGCCCTGCCCTTTGGCCCTCTGATCTTTTCCTGCCCTGTGCTGTGGCCATTTTAATAAGCCAGCCTCTCTGTAGCAAGCAGAAGGGTGGAGGAGAGAACTAGATGACCTCTCTTTTAGTATCTACCAGCTCAGAAGAGAACAGAATTGTCATTAAGGAGGGGAGGAACTGGGATTTGCTAATAGGCTGACTTGACCAGGTTTACACCAGGGCTGGCCTTGGCCCTTGCTTCTCCAGCCTCCCTGGATCTTAAGCTGCCAAATCTCCCAGCGGTTTCAGTCATCACCTTTTGCAGCTCCTGTCTCCCTTTTAATGAGCATCCCTGCGTGCTCCCTGTACCTGTGAACAGCTCTGTGTCTGTAGCTCCTCTCCACCTGCTGCGCTTATGCCTTGCTGCCTTGGGGGATTTGGGCTGGAACCAATCAGTCAAGAAGCATTGGTGGTAAGAGTTGGTGGTGGCTTACATTCAAGGTGCGTGCAGCTGCAGGGGCTTTTATTTCCTCTCTTTTCTTTCTCACTCTCCACATTTTTCCTTTTATTTGGGATGGCTGCATATGGCTCTCTGTGCTGCTAGGCGAAGTGGGTCTGAGATCTGTGAGCCACAGGATTCAGTCCCCAAGGGCCGCTCCATGTCCTCGGGCAAATAGCTGCAGAAGTGGAGTATTTCTGGTCAGTCAAGGCAAAGTGGGTGAGGGAGATGGGAAGGGCCATTCATGTGGCATCATCAAGGCTTCACAGAGCTCTGCCAGGGGCCTGTCGCTCACTCGTGTGCGGCTTGCTGCAGCTGTCATCAACTTTCTCTGAGTAAAGTCTGATGACAGCACACAAGTCCCTTCCCTGGGATGAAGCATCAGACTCTAATGGGCTGTTTAATCCCGGAGTGCTGGGGTGAGCGGTAGGAAGGCAAGAGCACGGACAAAGACAAATCTTAATCAAGACAGCTTTTGGTGCCCCGGGGCCAACCCACAAATAGTTAGCCATTGGGATAGTGTGCTGTGGGAGAGACAGCTGTGGAGATTGACAGCACCCAAAGAATATCACCCCACTCGTAAAAAACCCACACAAAAAACTCCAAAGCAAAACCCACACAATGTACTTCACTGCATTCACAGCTGAGTAGCGCACACATTTATACTGAATTTATTTCCTTTATTGGATTGTCCCTGGATTGGGTAAATCCAAATGTAATGGGGGAAAGTGTGGACTGCTAGTTGGATGAAGAGGACATAATGTGAACAGCACCAAAAAGAATGGAGACACAAGCGGCTTCAAATCCACATTAAATTTCTGTGTAGACTAGTTCAGGGGTAGGGAATCTTTGGCCCATGGGCCATATTTGACCCATCTGAAGTCCTAATTTGGCCCTCAAGGCTGTTCTTTGGAAGCCACGCCCACCTGCCCCACACCTGACATCATATATGACAGCAGGTGAGGGACAGAAAGCCATGGAATAATGGGGGGCTTAAACTGGGCTCCCAATCGTCTCCCCTTTGGAAGGATTCATCCTCCTTGTGTGCCCAGTGTTGTCAACAAGTAGCCCATATGCCTGTGATACAAGGAGCTCTAGTGATGGCAAAAGAACACCAGCAATCCATCATGACCTGTCATCCAGCTGCTGCGTTGGCACAAAAACTTTCCTGGGCTTGAGTGGGGGAGAGCAGATGATGAGAATTTGTGAATAAAGCTAAACTGGAATATGAGAGGAAAGGTTCCAATAAAGTGGAAAGGTTTAGAAGAAGAATAGAGAAGATCAGGGAAGCACAGAAGGTTTAAACTTGGTTAGAGGGACTGATTGCTCATATCAAAGCTGCCAGGTTGGGTCAGTCTAGTGGTTCATTTACCCAGACTCCTTGCTTTCAACTGCACCAAATGTTGCTGAGAAACAGAAGGGACCCACACCTTATTATTTGTTCCTAATATCTGGTACTAGGCATTCAGTGACCACCTTGGCCAGTGGCTTTCAGTAGCAGGGTGTTGTGTTGTGGAGGTGCTTACCTGGCCTCCCAGAAGAGGGAGAGGCAAAGAGGAGGCCGCACTGACAGCACCATGCAAAATCAAGGCTGTAGCACCTGCCCACTCTAGTCTCTGGCACTGGAAACAGAAACCCATGAATTCTGGCCCTTCCCCGCAACCCTGCGGTCACTTTGTGCCCTTGCCAAACTGTTTGGCTGCACACTAAACCTTCCAGGTTTGCTTGTATTTTCACCCCTTCAGCACAAATAAGCAAGTACAAGTATACTTCCAAAAAACTCCTTTTTTCCACTTCCCTCAGAGCCTTTCCCTCTGCTTCCTCTCCACGTCTGTTCTCCACAGTTCAGTGCAGAGATGGATCTGCCTAAGTCCACTGAAATCAGGAGGCTATGAGGGCACATGCTGTAGCTCAGTCTCGGGTTATGATCATTGTATCTTCGCACTGCATGAATAGTCCAACCCCTCCTTTCTTCAGCCTCTGCTACCGACATTGGAATGGACCTTTTCCTAACTACTCCATACCATCTAACATTTCTCCGATGGAAATTGGGACATCCCATTCCATAATGAAAATCTTACTATGTTGCCCCAGCCACTCTGGGCAGCTTCCAACATATAATAATAATAATAATAATAATAATAATAATAATAAACATTAAGAAAAACTTCCCTATACAGGATTGCCTTCAAACGGCTCAGAGGTTGGATAACTCCATTTATTTATTTTATTTATATTCCGCCCTATACCTGTAGGTCTCAAGGTGGTTCGCAGAATAGATTCACACGTGAATCCCCTAATTGTAAAATAAAAATAAAGATTAATGCACTTCTAATGTTTTTATTTTAAATGTGCTTCAGTTTTGAATAGAGCAGTGGCACTCCTGGAGGGGATATTTTCCCCTATGCCATCTTCTTGCTCTGTATTGCTTACACACAAACACCACCAGGAAAAAAAATCAGAAATGAATATGTAGAGAAATAGCAGCTTGAAGTGGGGAAAACAGCATGGGTGGGATTTAGCTAAGTTGTATGAATGGAACGAGGTCTGCTTGTGCAGCAAAACCTCTCTTCCCCCTACTCTTGTGTGCACTCCCCCCTATACCCACTAAACTTGCTCTGGATGGTTGGGGGGAAACCCAGACTAGGTTTATTTGGGGGCGCAGTGGAGAGGGGGAGTTCCATTGTGAAAGTGGTCCTTGTTCCCTGCATGTGTGCCCCGTGCTATGTTTATTTCCAAACCATAGTGGGAAAGGATTAAACACTCCCCCAGTTCTGCTGCTCTGATCAAAATCAGAACCCTACCAATCACCACCACATGGCAGGTTTAGGTTCAAACTATTTGTTTGTTCATTTGCTTTATTTAAAAGCATTTATAAACTGCTAAATATATCAAAAACCTCTAAGCACAGGTCTAAAAGACAAACATTTTATCAGTAAAACATTAAAACAAAAACACAACTTAAAATCAATAAAGTAGCAGTATAGAACACATAAGAGATATCAAAGCAAATAAGAGAGAAATTCAGAGGATTCGAACACATGGAACAAGGCCCAATCTTGTGGTTCAAGGGAAGCGTGGGCAAAAAGGTAAGTCCTCATAAGAAGTCTGAAGCAAGGGATCGTTGCCACTTCATGTAAGCCCAAGGAAAGGGCCTTCCACTATGCAGGGGCAACAGCAGAAAATGTTTTCAGGTCAGACAGTGTTGGCATATTATGGAGCTCACATGTCACAGCTATTGTTACTTGTAATAAAGGCAGAACGTCACATCTGCCAAATGAAGTGTGTGATATGAACAAATGTGCTCACCTGTTGTCTGGGTTGCATGGTTCGTGGAACTGGATTTTTCTGTGTTGTGGAATTTCGGGTGTAGAGCTGTTGTGTTTTAAGGTAGCACTAGAATGAAGCAGGGCACCACAACTTCCCACTGTGGTCCAGTGTACACATTACAGAGAGATGAAGCCATCTTACAAGTCCTTTTTAAAAACTATTTGTGTCCTGAAGATACCTAGATGCTTTCTCTGTGCACAGGGCAGGGTGCAGATGCACCATGAGTACATGAAGGATCTCAGAGCACACCTGTTTTAACCCAAATTCCCTATTTTTTCTACCTCTTTGATAGGTTGCGTGTGTGAAAGGCCATGTGACCAAGACCCTGAACTACCTGGAGATGAGTCCCTCAAGTGTCTTGAAGGGCACTGCTTTGAAACCTCACCCGCTCAACCCTGCTCGAATATTTTCCAGTGAGCCATCCAAAGCCAAGCTGGACCCATACAGTGGTGCCCTGAGTCCCTGGGACTGGACCAAGAACCAGACGGCCATGGAGCACTTCAACCAGCGAGCTAAGAGGAAGCCCTCCATGAAGGCTGGCCGAACCAAGAAGATCTTTGGCTGGGGTGACTTCTATTTCAACATCAAGACCCTGAAGTTCAGCCTGCTGGTGACAGGCAAGATCGTGGATCATATAAATGGCACCTTCAGCGTCTACTTTCGTCACAACTCCTCCAGCCTGGGCAATGTCTCTGTGAGCATTGTGCCACCCACCAAGGTAGTTGAGTTTGATGTACTGGTTCCCCCTATCCAAGCCCAGCACCTTCACCCTCAGCAGTCCACTTTAGCTGAGCCCAAGGAACCCAAGACCTTCAACTGTCACGTGGAATATGAGAAGACCAACCGGGCACGCAAGAATAAGCCTTGCCTGTATGACCCTTCTAAGATCTGCTTCACCGAGCACACGCAGAGCCACGCCGCTTGGCTGTGTGCCAAGCCCTTCAAGGTCATCTGCATCTTCATCTCCTTCTTCAGCATCGACTACAAGCTGGTCCAGAAGGTCTGTCCAGATTACAACTTCCAGAACGAGAACCCCTACTTTGGCTGATGAGGGGGGAAGACTTTGGGAGGAGGGGGGACAGTGCAGAGGGGTGTTAAGTAAGTTGCACTCTTTTTATCAGGACAGGAATTGGAATAACTTTGGCTGGCAGTGAAAGAAACAGGAGAGCCCCCCCTCCACCCTGATGCTTAGTGAGAGAAGGATGGCCGGTTCTGAACAGGAACTGGATTCTGCTCCATCTCATAAGGCATTCCCTTCCCAGTGGCCACTAAACTTCCCAGGACTTTAGGAAAATAGAAACTGGCCAAAAGGACACTGTTGCTTTTGCTCCCCACTGTACCCCCTTTCCGATGCTGTTTGGATCATCTCAAGGGAATTCCCAGCAATATGAAGAAATGGCTTGCTGTGGCTTTCATCTCTTTTGTGCATAAATGGACCCTGCTGCTTCTGTGGGGCTGTAACACTGACTTATATGAGAATGTCTTTCAGGATCATGCCTCCCATCTGGAATATAAGGTTCTGGTAGCAGCCAAAGGTCCCTCTGTGCATCTCTCTGTCTCTCTTCTCCTTGGACTGAGCCACAAATTGTCATCTGAGTTGCTACTGAAGCTATTCATTGACCTGCCTGGGATTGTGGAAAAAGCATATTAACCCACAGTGCCAACTCACCTCTTGCCAGATGCTCTACAATGGAAAGGACCAACAGAGGGCAGAAATTGCCAAATTCGGGAGCTTTTCTGTTCATATAATACAGGAATGTAATGTGCAATGGATCAATCATGTTAAATTGGGAGGGAGAGTGAGAATGTGTGTCAGCTGGAGTTAAGCTGAATGTAAACAGGGAGATTGGGGTTCAGTGGGTGAGATCATGTCAGAACAAAGGGTTTGCATGAGAAACTGAAAGATTGGGAGGTGCATAAGAACACATTGATGCAACTGGGACTGTAACATTTCAGTGTGCGCACGTGCACATCTGTGTGTGTGTGTGTGTGTGTGTGTGTGTGTGTGTGTAAGTGGAACTTTATGTTCATAGCAGAAGCCTGAGTTGAGTGTTAGTAGAAATTCAAATGAAATTCTATTAAGGACTGTGAGATTCAACCGAAACACGTATGTGTGCACAACTTAGGAAAGTGTGTGTGAGAGTGTGTGTGTGTATACACAGCGTGACAGCGAGTAAGGATGTGTGCTATATTAGGTGTGCTCTTTTGGCCTTAATGGCATATGTATTTGCAAGTACATTTATTTAAGTCTGTATAACTAGGAATGCATATATGCCACCATGACAGTAATGAAGTGTGTTTTAATTAGGGCTGCAAGCATTCATTGATTTATTCTGCAGATTGATCAACTAGAGCTTTAATCTCAGATTAAAATTTGTCCCCTTTGATTGAGTGGCAGGGCTAAGACTGAGGAGCACGCTTCTGTGCAGTCCTTGCAGGTGTAGCAGTTTCCTCTTTCCTGCGGATGGGTTTGCTTTCCAGCTGACACCCAGAGTTTGCAGATCTTTTTTCATTTCAGGGTGAAAACCCACTGGGGTTTTCCTGCCAGCTATATGAAGCACAAAGCAACTAAGGCTGACAGTGCTCATTTGAAAATCACATCAGTTTCTCTTTTAACTCTGGATCTTCCGCAGCACTTACAGGATTTTGAAGTTGTTCCTTTTTGAAGACATTTTGGTTCTGATGACTTTACTGTAACAGGGAATGCTCTGCACAAGAAAGAAAAATGTAAAGGATGATCAATCCTTCTTAATAGTGGTGAGCGGTAGCTTTTGTTGATTAAATTTTAAACTATCTCATATTTAATAGGAGGCCATGCCTATCCTGCTGTATCATAAAAAGGCACCTGCATTTTTGTGGTTTAGGTAAGGTGCAGATTTATTTAAAGACAATTGACAACCCTACTTTCAATATATTCATATCTTTCAGTGTAAAGATTTCGTTAAAGGGTATGAAGAGACATTTGAGTTTGCATATGTAAGTATGAGTGTGTGCTATCAGGAATCTGAATGCTTGAGTAAGGAGTGTCCGTATAAATCAGTGGCAGCGTAGGTGAGATGGTGTTAATGGAGTCTGCATGTGATTGCATGTGCTGGTGGGGTGTGAGAGAGAAATTGGCTTGCTAAACTGTATGGGAGGGAGAGAACAGATTCATTTTTTGTAAGAATGTATGGCTGGGCTTGCTTACATGAGTCTTCTAGAACAGTTACTTTGAAAGCGATTTCTGCAATGCTCCTGCGCTCCCCTGCTCCCTCTTGCACATGGTGTGTCTAGAGGACTTTGGGTGTTCCATGAGAGGCTAGTCTATAGTCTGTCCTGGCTTCAGAGGGGTGGGTAGACTCTAGTAACATTGCAACTACTTCTAACATTCTGGCTCAGTGATGCTTTGAATTCCCTTGATTCCTTCCTCTTCCTCAGCCTCTCCCTTCCACCCACAGCCCTTGCAAGAATTACAAAGGGTTTCAAGTTGGTTTTTAGCGGTTGCCACATGCCAGGTATAGAAATGAAGAGGGGAAATGATATGCTTCTTTTTTTGACAATCAGTATTGTTTGTTGGTTGGTTAGTCTGTTGGTTAGTTAACAGCAAAACAGTAATATAAGTGTGGCTCTTCAGGTTTGAATGCATACAGAAAAAAGCAACTACAAAGTAAGGAACAATTCAATTGTGTGCTGCCATTACAAAATCAGACAGTTGGAATATTTTCTGATGTACAACTTCAAAAACATTTATTGTCATTAAGACAGTCATTTATTCATTTTTAAAAGCAACGTGAGTCAAGTACTAGTAAAAGAAGTATGGCAATACCATATGGTTCAGTCATTTCTGGACTATGACATTTGTTAAAATGTTTGAGTGCTCCCTCCCGCAAACAAACATTCAGCTTGCATGTGAGGAAGGAGCCTACCTATCTCTCTGTCATGCTAGCTTTCTACATGTTGGTTTGGGGTTATGGTTTGGCTTGGTTTTAACAAGGGCATTCAGACATTCATTCCTCCCCCTACATTCTGAAGTAGTACAGTTCTAGGAAGGCAGCATCACCTGATGCTTCCAAATGTGCAGTTCAGCTGCAAGAGCTTAAACACCAGAGATGAAACTTTAGATTGCTTTTCAAAATTGCAAATCAAATCTGAGGACAAAATGTGACTCATTGGAGAGTGGCCTGAATTTTAACTTGCACCTTTTTATGTGAAGGTAGCTTTGACTGAGAATAAGTCACTCTGCCTTCACCTAAAAACAACTTTGTTTCCATGGGTGAAGGACATGTGACACACATCCCGCCAGTTGTGGAATATGTTAGGCAAGCTGCCTCGTGCTGCATTCACACAAATGGTGAATTATGAACTCACACTAACAGCGGGTGATGAATTCAGAAACACAGCCAATTCACATATAACCAAGTGACTGATGTCTTGGGGACCTCTGTGGGTGATGTTTACAAATGAAATAAAAGATTCATGTTGGAATTCATGAGTTGTAGATCATGAATCTAAAGGCTCATCCCAGCTGTAAGGGATCCCACCTGGAATTTGCATGGCCAAATGGTGAATCATCCAGTTTTGCCAGTTCTAGAGGTAGAGGCTGTACCTTCACTACTCTCCTACTTGTTGCAGGACACGGGTGGCCCTGTGGTCTAAACCACTGAGCCTCTTGGGCTTGCTGATCGAAAGATAGGCGGTTCGAATCAGCGCGATGGGGTGAGCTCCCATTGCTGTGTCCCAGCTCCTGCCGACCTAGAATTTTGAAAGTGCACCAGTGCAAGTAGATAAATAGGTACCACTGTGGCAGGAAAGTAAATGGCATTTCCCTGTGCTCTGGCTTCCGTCACGGTGTTCCATTGTGCCAGAAGAGGTTTAGTCATGCTGGCCACATGACCCAGAAAGCTGTCTTTGGACAAATGCCGGCTCCCTTGGCCTGAAAAGCAAGATGAGCGCCACACCCTATAGTCGCCTTTGACTTGACTCAACTGTCTAGGGGTCCTTTATCTTTACCTTACTTGTTGCAGGAAAGCTAGAGAAGTACAGCAGCCCAGCTGAAAGTGTGTGCAGGCTAGTGTCTCTGCTGTTGTGTTTTGTGGGTGTACACAACCATGAACAGGGATGCTCGTGCACATCAGCTCATGTGATAGGCATGAATCTCATGCAGCTGTCGGTGTATGTAAGTGATTTTGAGTGCTTTCAACAATGTCTGATGTCTCTGTGGCTGTATCGGTGTACTTCCTATTGCGTTAGAACTAAGCATAGATGTGCTTAGTCTACACAATCACATCAGCGTTTCCTAAACTTCCCAAATTCTGTCCCCCCTCCCACCCCCCTCCCAGCATCCTTCCCTTTGCACGCTCACACTCAGGGTTGGGACTATGACATGCTTTTGGGATTCCCCACATTTGTCTACTCCCGTGCAGGCTGCATTAGTGAGTCTGAATCCTCCCTGACTCCCTCCCTCAGGAAGATGTTACTTCAGAGAAAGGATCCATGTTGCACAGAGCTTTCCTGCATGGAAGGTAGAGAGCACAGGCGGGCAATCTGTGGCCCTCCAGATGTTGATGAAGTACAACTCCCATCATCCCTACCATTGGCTGTGCTGGCTGTGGCTGATGGCAATAGGAGTGCAGAAACCTCTGGAGAAAGCCACTCTTACCACTGTCTGCACATGCCCCTGTTTACGTGTTTTGTGAACTTGCAAGTTTATACATGTTGCCAAGGAGGCATGTTATCTGGAATATTTAATCCAGAGCTTGTTGTGCTCTGTCTGATTGCTAGGGCGGACATTGGCAAACAACAAAGCCACATTGCCTGGATCAGCAGGTTGTACTAAGCTTATTTCTCTGATAGAGAGAGTAGCTGATGGAACTTCAGAATCTAATGGCTACTGTGCAAGGAGTGGAGAATGGTGCTAGGGATCTGGCCTACTGAACCGGAGGCCTTAAAGTGCCCAGAAAGATGCCTGAACACAAATGGCATGGGTTTGGACCATGCAAGGACAGAAGGATGTTGAGATAAGAGAGAAAGGAATATGTTAATAATGTTCTGAAGAGGGGGAAGGAACAG